ACGGCCCTCTTCCTCCTCTCCTGTTCTCTCTGCTTTTTCTTTCTTCAGCCTCTCCATCCGCTCTTCCTCTCTGCATCCCCTGCTACTCCTCTGCTCTCTTCTCCTCTCTTTCCTCCTCCCTCATCTACCTTCCTCCGTCTCCCTCCTCCCTCCTCACATTCCGTCTTCCTCTTATCCCTGCCATTTCCTCTCTCTTTCATCCCCTTCATTTGTCTGCCTGCCTCCTTATTCACCTCCCTCGTCTACCCTCCGTCTCTTCTGGCACTTCGTTTCTTCGTCATCATCTCATCTTTCACCCCTTTTTTCCCCTCCTTCCTTTTCCACCGGGCATTCTATTCGACCGAAGACGGTAGCCTTTTTTGGAGGGGGTGGGGGATGGTGCGGGATGGGGATTCCTAGTTTTCAGAGCATTTGTCACTAACAATTCCCCCCCCTTTTTTTTTTTGCCCTCTCACAGAGTTTGAAGCATCAACGGAAATGGAAGTCCGATCCCAATTACACAAGGGACTGGTACGACAGAGGTGCCAAGGTTATGCAGGCTGAGCAGTTCCGAAAGGGCGCCTGCACAAAGTGAGTGGTAGCCACATGCCCCTTGCATCTTCCTCTCTGTTAGATGAACTTAAATCCTTTGCCCCCCCCCTCCCCCCCTTGCTAGCTTTTCTCTCTCTCTCTCTCTCTCTCTCTCTCTCTCTCTCTCTCTCTCTCTCTCTCTCTCTCTCTCTCTCTCTCTCTCTCTCTCTCTCGTTCTAAAGGGCATATTCTTCTCTTCTCGCCGTTCTGAATGGCTGCATCAGGTTCGTATATGTCAGCATGTCTGCCTGCTCTAGTTCTCTTCCTTGCCTCTTTTCTCTCCTCTCCTCTTCTCTTCTCCTTTTTCTCTCCTCGCTTCTCTTCTCTTCTCCTTTTTCTCTCTTCTCTTCTCTTCTCTTCTCTTTTCTGTTTTATCCTTGTTTCCTGCAGTGTGTTTCTTGAATGAACCATGTACTTTTTGTCTTGCTGGCCTCCCCATGTTATGGTCTGATTGGCTGAAAGTAGCTCTTTGTGAAATGTGTAGAACTCTCTAGAAAGAGTTGGTTTTCGAATTGCAGGCTGCTGAATCTGACCTGGATGTTTGGTTTGGTCCGGTCCCTCACTCGTCTACTTTGTCTGTGTGCGACTGCGCTACTAGCCTACCACTTGTTGCCAGTCTGTACTTTGTCTGTGTGCGACTGTGTTCCCACCTGTCGCAAATCTGTTGTCTTCTCCGCTTCAAAACTACCCGTTGTGATTACTTGTTTGCCTACTACTGAACTCCTGTCCTCTCTTTTGCGTCGCATAATTTTTCGTTGTTTGTCGGGCAAATGGAACGGGGTTTCCTTGCTTCCTTTTTATCGAACTGTTTTTTTGACGTTTGCCGCGCAAATGGATTGGGTTTCTCACTCCCTTCTCGCTCGTCCAAAAATTGTCATGACAGCTGCGGAGCTATGACGCACGATGCGAAGCTGTGTATGGAACGGCCGCGAAAGCTGGGCGCAAAATGGACCAGCATGCATATTGCTCCAGACGAGAAGATAGAATCTTTTGAGCTGGATTACGACGGCAAGAGGGATCGATGGAACGGGTACGATCCGTCGACCTACAGCCGCGTGATCGACACCTTTCAGAAGCGGGATGAGGCGAGGCGGAAGTTTGTGAAAGAGCAGGAGCTGAAGAAGAAGTTCTCATTGACGAGCAGCGAGTCGGACAAAGGAGGAGAGGATAAAGATAAAAATTCCGGGGAGGAAGACGACGACGAAAGCAGTGAGGATGAAGTGGAGGTACAAGATGAGGCAAAGGTTGATGAGAGCAAGCAGATGGACTTTGCGAAAGTCGAGAAGCGTGTTCGTACCACCGGTGGTGGCAGCACCGGGACAGTCAGGTTAGTAGATCGGGCCTCGATAGTCCTTTTTGTTTTTCTTTTGTTTTTTGTCTGTTTCCTGAACTCATCTTTGATCTCTTTGTGCGCGAAAGAGACGGACAAGCTTTTGGGCATGGAGAGTGCGCGCTATGTTATCAATCGCCCAGAGAGAATCGCCAACTGCCATCGACCGTGAAACTGACACAGAATGCTGCTGCTGCGCTGCTCTGCTGAGCCGTGAGAGAGAGAGAGAGAGAGAGAGAGAGAGAGAGAGAGAGAGAGAGGGAAGATGAAAATGGCAGTGAAGAGTTGTGGACGTGAACTGATTGCTGACTCATTTCCTACAACTCTTTTGTGTGGTGTGTGCAGAAATTTGCGTATTCGAGAAGACACAGCGAAGTACCTAATCAACTTGGACGTCAACTCTGCACATTATGACCCGAAGACAAGATCTATGCGTGAAGATCCCAATCCCGAAAGGGATCCCAATGAGAAGTTCTATGCGGTAAGCAGAATCCTGAAATCGTATCCCAAAAGGATCGATGGTTCTTTTTACTTTTTTTTTTCACCCCCCAACATCAGTGAAGGCATACCTGCTTCGGACAGGGATAAGAGCCCATGTCTGTTGTCGGGGGCCCAGGAGTGATGGCTCCGATCTCATCCCAAGCAAGACAGTTGTTCGCTGACCCGAAAAGGCGCACAGTGTTGGATTTCGTTTTTTTTCCTCTTCTTTTCTTCTGCTTGTTCCCGTTAGATGTCTTTTTTATTTCCAAATCAATACACCTGTGAGACTGGGACAGTTTGCGGAGGGATTTCTGAAAAAAAACTAGGGGAATATACTCATACACAATGACCTCTTCAACTGAATCGAGGCGTATTTACGCCCAGATACGTGCGCATGTACGTCTTGAGTGTTGAGTATGCCCTTAGAGGCCTGCTAAAACCCACCTGCTCACTGGAAAAGGGTATGGGTAGTTCAAGGGCTGGTCACTTTGGATGGTTATAAAATGATGCCGTGGTAACTTGTCATGAATCTGGCGCGACTGGAAGGCCAAGTTCATGCAAAGCTGTTTCAGAATAGGATAGCCGTGCAACTAGAATGTTTGTCTTGTGGTCATTATCATAGCTGTATTTGGAACAACTGTCAGGCCAGGTACAGATGTAGGACACCACCTTTTCATCATTGGCTAGAAGTAGGGCCAAAAACACCAAATACCTGTTGACTACCTTATTCCCCTGGACACAAACCCCCCTAGTGCAACTTTCAGGACAGATACAGATATAATTACTAGGTGCCGTGCTCTGGGGAAGATGGTGGTAAGCAGGGTTGGCTGGGGGTATATAATATATATGGTGCTGGATTTTGTGGTTTTGAGGTGAGGGCCCGAAGCGTTGGAGTTTTCTTTGGGTACGTTATCCGTTAGGTTGGGTGCGCTGGCGTCTACCGTACATTTGCCGTATCTGGTGATGCAAAAATTGGCCTAAATGCAGTTATTTATATAGCCGAGGCTGCTTGGGCTGCGCTGCCGTGCACAACCGGGCGAGGCATCCGGGCAAGTCGCCCAAGGGGTCTTACACCTAGGGTACCCATCCGGTCATGGGAATATGCAGGGTCCTCTTTTTTTTCCTTTCTGGCGGTGGGGGTTTTCCCCGCATCCCTAGAGGGCTCTTTTCTTTTTTGAGCATTGGCTGGCAAGGGGAGTGTGAATTGGCTTTAGAGCTGGGCTACCAGGGTGTGATGATGACTTCTGTGTCTTACGATATTGGACTTTGGAATGTATATTGTATTGTTTTTGTGGAAATGCAGGGAGACAATGCGTATAGAAATAATGGGCAGGCTTTGGAGTTCAAGCACCTGAATGTTCATGTGTGGGAGGCGTATGAGAAGGGGCAGGACATCCATCTGCAGTCTGCACCTTCGCAGGCCGAGCTTCTGTATAGGGAGTTCCTGGTAAAGAAGGAGAAAATGAAAGGACAGGTCAACAAATCGATCATGGAGAAGTATGGAAATGCAGCATCGCCGGAGATCCCGGACAATGCATTGCTCTTGGGGCAGACGGAGCGTGTTGTGGAGTACGACAGAGCAGGACGCGTCATCAAGGGACTGGTGAGTTCTACTGCCTTTCACTGAACCATCCTCATCAGGTCGCCTTTTGAACCATCACCTGTTGCCTTTGCTGAGAGCTTCTCGTGTGCTTATGCTCTCTCTCTCTCTCTCTCTCTCTCTCTCTCTCTCTCTCTCTCTCTCTCTCTC